TTTTTTGTTGTTATATACCTGGATGACTGAGAAAACAAACTTTGTGTAAATATTAGATTAAGAAGCAGGAGGCTGGATGGCCTGGATTATTCGAAGGCATGAAGTCACTGCTAACAGCACAGACATACAAGTGCTGGTCATAAAACTATAATATCATGTAAAAGTTGATTTAATTCAATAATTCCATTCAAACGTGAAACTTGTATATTTTATATTCATTTATTACACACAGACGGATATATTTCAAATGTTTATTTCTTTTAATGTTGATGTTTATAACTGACAACTAACGAAAACCCCAAATTCAGTATCTCAGAAAATTCGAATGTTGTGAAAAGGTTAGAGAGAGTCAGAGTTTCTTTATTTGTCAGGTGGAGTGAAATTGTGTGCAGGGTCCCAGTTAATCCAACAAGAAAAAGTAAAAAGAAAAACGGTAATAAGATCTAAGATATAAACTAAGAAAAGTTAACTAAATATTCACTAAGCACTAGTAGCATAAAAACAATACGTCGAACAGCAGCACGAACATGAGTCTGTGTGAGCAGATGAGCACGAATGAACACATCAACATGAACCAGATCAGCAGCAACATGCAACTGATCAGCAGCAACATGCAAAAGATCAGCAGCAACATGAACCAGATCAGCAGCAACATGAACCTGATCAGCAGCAACATGCAACTGATCAGCAGCAACATGCAAAAGATCAGCAGCAACATGAAACAGATCAACAGCAACATGAACAGATCAGCTGCAACATGCAACTGATCAGCAGCAACATGCAACAGATCAGCAGCAACATGCAACAGATCAGCAGCAACATGAACCAGATCAGCAGCAACATGCAACTGATCAGCAGCAACATGCAACAGATCAGCAGCAACATGAACCAGATCAGCAGCAACATGAACCAGATCAGCAGCAACATGCAACAGATCAGCAGCAACATGAACCAGATCAGCAGCACCATGATGTGATTTTTCACAGTGATTATTCTGGTTAAAGATTCATGAGTCTAACTACCTCAGGGTAGAAGCTGTTCCTCAGTCTAGTGCAGGGGTGCCCACACGCTTTCAGCATGCGAGCTACTTTTAAAATGACCAAGTCCAAGTGATCTACCTGCTATAAAAGTACAAAGCAAGGAATCAAAAACGTCTCTAAACACTTCTTTAGACTGACAGACATGGGAACAAGGAAATAATAGCAACTCTAAATATTTGGACATTGACGGACAAAGATAGAGAGCTGGCTGACGTGATGTAAAGAAGGATGATAAACACATTTGTTTGTCTTTTACTGAATAAAACGTTGTTCCTTTGACTTGGAACAGTTCTGACCCACAGAACGTAAATCAGTCATACAACTGATATAAGTTATATTCTGTCCATATTGTCTGTTTCAGTGTTTCCTGCAGATCTTCATCAGACTCTGCTGATCAGAGCAGATGCTCCTGAGGAATGGAAGCCTGACGTGGACCAGCAGGAACCAGAACACCTCCACATGAAGGAGGAAAAGGAGGAACTCTGGACCAGAATGGAGGGAGAGCAGCTCAGCGTGAAGGAGGAGACTGATGCCAGCTGGTTTTCATTCACTGCAGTTCATGTGAAGACTGAGGATGATGAAGAGAAGCCTCTGTTCTCACAGCTGCGTCATCATCAAACGGAGGACAGAGATGTTCCAACCAGCAGCTCAGCTGACCAGATGAAAGTAGAAGCTGATGGAGAGGACTGTGGAGGAGCAGAAACCAGCAGGAACCCAGATCTAAATCCTCATGGAGATGCTTCCAGCTCTTCAGAGACTGAAGTCAGTGAAGATGATGAAGAGGACGAGGATGGGAACAATGCTGACTCTCAACACTTCTATGGACTCACAGACATGGGTATAACAAAGAAATATTACATTTATTTGTATTGAAGTGTGAAGGTGACCTTGAAATACTTTGCAAATTGAAATATTTTTTGTTATTTTTAAAGGACAACAAAATGGCCCGGACCCATTTTCACATTGACACAGCTTTAAATTTAAGAACCCCAAAACTTACAAAAGCTTTTAACATAAATGGACAAAAGTTGCTTAATAGTTTCAGGCACAGGAGATGCTGACATTTAGAAAATTTTGCTCTTTAACACAATCCAAAAGTGGAGGAACATGTGCCCAAAAAAAACAAACAAAAAGAAATTGACACACTTTCAAAAGTTCCTCTGGCTTTGGAACTTTGCAGACAAATATGTTTTGATCCATAATTTGATATTTGAAAAGCCAAGAACTCTTAGACTAAAAAAAAATAATAATCTAGACAGCAATATTCGTGCACCATTTTTTTCTTTTGTATCTACGTTTCTTGAAGAGCGTACGTAGACTGCCATGACAGGCTGCTACTTCCACTGTCCGGTTTTCTATTTCCTGCTCCGGCGCCATATTCACTGCACTCTATGGGGAGGCAGGAGGATCAGAAACGAGCGTGGCTGGCAGCTTTAAAACTCAAATACCCCCCGAAGAGAGTTAAGGTTTGCTCCTTTCATTTTATCAATAAAAAGCCCACAGAGGTACACCCCGACCCGGAGCTCTATCTGGGCTATGACCGGCCCCCACCTAAGAAAAGAAGACGGCTCATCCGGACCACTGTGAGCCAGCTTCCAGCAACATCAACAAAACGGCAGTATCTGTTCTTGGTGAGTGAAACTGTAAATGTGGTTTGTCCCAGTTTCACATTTTAATCATGCAATCCTTCGCTTTTACTGAATCATAGCAGTGAGTGGCGTTAGCATCAGCACTAGCTGGTAGCAGTGCAGTGCTACCGTAGTCTGGATGATGGTATGCTATTAGCAGCCAAGTCTAAATTTTAAAGACAAAACAAGCCCATGGTTAGTCATTAACACCAGTCGCATGCTGGCAGAAGTATATGGCTTCATTTAACTGTCCCAGAATGGTTTTTTATTTAGCAACCAGGTAAAATTCAACACTCCACTTCCCAAATACAGACAAAAGAATTTTGTTTTGTGCAGGGACATCGATAGGATTGAAACACTGGGGGAGATAGCCCGTAGGGCTGTAAAAGTCTGGGGTTTGTGTTCATAAAGAGTATGCTCGGTTATTAGAGGCAGTGTATTTATTTATCGTTAAAACGGCTGCAGCTGTAAGAAAACCTTCATTTAAAGTAGTTAATAAGAAAAAGCTTAAATGCAACCTAGCACCAACTGATTATTTTTTTTTTTTTTAGAATGAAAAAATAAAAAGCTAATCACGATATTTTGATAATGTTATAACATAATTTTAGGGTGCTTAGGAATATTTCTGGGGGCTCAAGCCACCAACAGCGCTGTTGACATTAATGATTTTGCATGTGTGTAATGGAGTGAAGAATTTAAAATTTCCCTGGTAAAATGTAATAAGCTAAGTGACACTTTACAATTTCTGTTATGCTAACAGAGCTAACTTGAGTGATTGTATTTTTGTGTTATTCAGAGCGCACAGTGGATTCACCTTGAGTCGTGCCAGACCAGGCCAGCTTCTCCACAACCTCCTGAGCCACATCTGCACCCAGTCCACACACCGTGGGAGGACCCTGCGCAACAAGATCATCAATATTGCAACACGTCTCGCAGAAAAGATGATTCAGTTTGAAGAAGTTGCATATTTTCTTCTTCAGAATGACGCAGACGCTTCGCTGTACACAGGGATGTTAAAACATGGATGTTAGTTTGCCTTCAGGCCCAGGCCTCCCTTGCAAAAGAGATCTGTGATCTCAATGGGATTTGTCTGTTTAAATAAAGGTTAATAAATAAAATAAATCATTAGGTATAGCCTTAGAAACATTTAATGTTTTTCCTGCATATTTATAACCAAATTTTTGGCTGAGATCTGACGAGTAATTTAATGCAAATGTAAGAATTCACGTTGAAAGAGCAATCGGACGTTTGAAAGTTTTCAAAATCCTATGATAATCTGTTCCTATAAGCACGACTCCTAAAATAGACAAAATTTTGAGGATATGTGCTGCTCTACTCAATTTAATACAGAACTATTTTATGTCGTCAGTTTGTCATTAATTACTCAGCAAATGTTTAAATTATGAACATTTTAGTTGTTTAATTTTCAACAGATTTCATATTGAATGGCACGTGTGGCAGCTTTAGAGCTGTGCAAACCCTTGTAAGCTGCACTTGCATGTGATAGCCTCGGCTTCCAGTTTTCTGCAGCAGCTCTTCATCTAATAAACTTGATATTGCTGCATTTCTGGATTTCTGCATTTTGTGTCATTGCAGCCTGTGAGTTCTTGTTATGCTGCTGCTCCGCTTTGTGGCGCCTGATGTTTTATCTGGCTCAGACGTTTGGGTTGAAGATGCTTTGCTGTCCCTGCATTCCACCTGCGCTGCTCATCTGTACATGCAAGCCCCGTCTTTCCACTGATCACAGCATTCTGGACCTGTAACGAACATTAAGAGTATTTTCTCACTGTCATTACTCAAAATTTAACTTAATGAGGAAGTTTATTCTGACTAAAGCACTACCATGTCTGTGTATATAGATCTAAATCACTGAAATAAAAACACTGGCAAGGCCACCAACACTGCAAGCTCCACAGTCTGTACATTTTTTCAAATTAGTATATTCTGTATATTTGTTCTTTTCCCCAAAAATTATACTACCCAGTTGCACATCATGTTGCTGTACTTTTTTCTTTCTTATGTTTTAACATTTTAATGTACAGCCTCTTATTTATTTATGTTAATTAATTTTTTAATTAGGGCTGCATAAAGCTTTAACAATGCATGCCTTCCACATGTAAACTTGTAGAAAACAGCAAAATGCCAGCTGCACGTCTCCCTGATCACAGCCTTGGGTTAGTCCAGTGTTTATGTTTCAGTGATCTAAACATTCTGATATCCAGATAAGTGATCGATTTCGTTGCTGTGCAGGTAATTATACACCTCGGTGCTCTTATAATTACTTAATTCCTCGCCATCAACACAAAAAACCCCCGGAAAAAACAAGGCTTCTCACCCAGTCCGTGGGAAGGGACGGGTGAGGCACTGTTAATGATTTGTCCTCGCCGCTTTTTAAAACATCTTTGCAATGTATCCACCTCCGATGCATCGCCTTTTACGCCAGGTAAAGGACACTGCGGTGTCAAAAAGTATAAATCAACAGCGAGTGTGTAACCCTGCAAATGTAAACAACAACGCAGGCGGAAGTGAAATACCGGCTTCTGCAATGAATTATGGGTACTGGTGCCAAGTCAGGGATACTGTGGATTAAATAGACTAGTTTCACCAGTAAACCCTCTTGTTTTTAACTTTTTTTTTAAATCCAGTAAACCATACCATACCATACCAATTTATTTATAAAGCACTTTAAACAGTGACAAAGCACACCAAAGTGCTGTACAGGGACAAACAGAACAAGCACACAGCAACAGATTACATAACAGGACACCAAAAAGTAGAAACCAACAAAAACAATAATGGATAACAACAACAACCGCAACATGACCAACACAGTGTGATGCACACAGACTCAGCACAGATCAAACCAGCCACAAGGGAGCACAATCCAGCACATCTCTGGTCCCAAGTCTGGGTAAATGGTAAGGGTTGTGTCAGAAATGAAATCTGGAATAGAACAGACATGCTTATATCTTACTGAATAAAGTGTTGTTCCTTTGACTTGAAACACTTCTGATCCACAGAACATTAATCAATAACACAACTGATTGGTTCCATCAACCAGTGAATATAAAGTTATATTCAGTCTATATTGTCTGTGTTTCAGTGTTTCCTGCAGATGTTCAGCAGACTCTGCTGATCAGAGGAGATGCTCCTGAGGAATGGAGACCTGATGTGGACCAGCAGGACCCAGAACACCTCCACATAAAAGAGGAAGAGGAGGAACTCTGGACCAGATTAGAGGGAGAGCAGCTCATTGTGAAGGAGGAGACTGATGCCAGCAGGTTTTCATTCACTGCAGTTCCTCTGAAGAGTGAGGATGATGAAGAGAAGCCTCTGTTCTCACATCTTCATCAGCACCAAATGGAGGACAGAGATGTTCCAACCAGCAGGAACCCAGCTCTAAATCCTCATGGAGATACTTCCAGCTCTTCAGAGACTGAAGTCAGTGAGGACGATGAAGAGGACCAGGATGGGAACAACCCTGACTCTCAGCTGGAACACTTGTCAGACTCTGGGTCTACAACTGAAGACAGTGACAAAGACTGGAAAGAGAGCAGAGCTCCTGAGTCAGCTGTAAACTCTGTCAACAAATGTTTCAGCTGCTCTGAGTGTGGCAAACAATTTCTGCACAACCAGTCACTTCAGAGACACATGACATGTCATTCAACAGTAAGACGTTCAAGTTGTTTGGGTCAAAAGAAAAGTGTCCGAGAGAAGAAAAGTGTAGAGACACACAGGAAAATCCAGACAGAACCAAAATCATTTAGTTGTGATGAATGTGGTAAAAGTTGTAACAGAAAAGAACATTTAAAACACCCATTAACAGTCCATACAGGAGAGAAACATTTACAAAGTGAGATTTTTGGACAAAGATTTAGACATATTAAGTCAAGTGTAAACACACAGATGAGTGTCCACACACGACATGATCCATATAAATGTGAAGTTTGTGGACGAATATTTAGTCAGAAGTCCAGTTTAAAAACACACATGAATTCCCACACAGGACAGAAACCCTTTGAATGTGAGCTTTGTGGAGAAAGATTTAGTCATAAGTCAAGTTTAAACAGACACATGAATTTCCACACAGGACAGAAACCCTTTGAATGTGAGCTTTGTAGACAAAGATTTAGTCGAAAGTCAAGTTTAAACTCACACATTCATCGCCACACTGGACAGAAACCATTTGAATGTGAGCTTTGTGGACACAGATTTCGCCAGAAGCCACATTTAAAAAGGCACATGAGCAGCCACACAGGACTGAAACCATTTCAATGTGAGCTTTTTGGACAAAGATTTGGTCGAAAGTCATGTTTAAACAAACACATGAATCTCCACACCGGACAGAAGTCCTTTGAATGTGAGCTTTGTGGACAAAGATTTAGTCGGAAGTCAAATTTAAAAACACACATGAGAGTCCACACAGGACAGAAACCATTTAAATGTGAGCTTTGTGGACAAAGATTTAGTTGGAAGTCAAGTTTATATTCACACATAACTTGCCACACCGGACAGAAACCCTTTGAATGTGAGCTTTGTGGACAAAATTTTAGACTGAAATCCCATTTAAAAACACACATGAGTGTCCATACAGGACAGAAACCCTTTGAATGTGAACTTTGTGGACAAAGATTTAGGCGGAGGGCAAATTTAAACATACACATGAATCGCCACACAGGATATAAACCCTTTGAATGTGAGCTTTGTGGACAAAGATTTAGTCGGAAGTC